GCACTATGGTCTGGTAATATGCATGGGATAATTTCAGTTCCTTTCCATTGACTTAAGTGTGTTCTATTCTGTTTTGTAGACCGTCCCATGTGCAGCTGAAAAGAATGTGGATTTTGATGTTGTGGAGTGGAATGCTGTAGATATCTACTAAGTCCATTTGTTCAAAAGTTTTGTTCAGTTCTAATAGCTCATTGTTGATTTTTTTTCTAGTTGATCTGTCTTTTTGTGACAGTGGGGTATTGAGCTCCTCCATTAAAACTGTATTAGTACGTACTTGATTTTTTATGTCTGTTAATATTTGTTTTGTATAGTTGAGGGCACTGATACTTGCTACATATATATTTATGATTGTTATCTCTTCCCCTTGAATTGTGCCCTTTACAAAGATGTAGTGAACATCTTTCTATCTCTTAATCAGTCTTGGCTTGAAATTCACTTTGTCTGCAAATAGAATGACTGCCCTGCTTTTTTCTGGGTTTCTGTCACATGGAGTATTTTTTTCTACTCTGTGGCTTTCAGTCTATGCATTTCTTTTTGACTTGTGTGTTTCTTATATGTAGCATGTTGTTGGATCTTCTTCTGCCATTCTGTTTTTTTTGATCAGTGAATTGAGGCCATTTACATTGATGGTTATAACTGATACGTGTTGACTTATCCTTGTCATGTTATTTACCTGTTGTTGGTCTCCCCTGCTGCCCCCCTCCTTAATTATTTGCTTTGTCTGGTGGATTCATGTGTTGGGATTCATGGAGTTGTAGTCCTCATTATCTCTTTCTAGAATGTCCTTCAGAACATTTTGGAGTGCCTGTTTGGTGTTCATAAATTTCCTTAGCTTTTTTTTTTTGTCATGAAAGTATCTTTTTTCTCCATGTGTTCTGAAAGATAGTTTTGCAGGGTCCATTAATCTGGGTTGAAGGTTGTTTTCCTCTAGAACTTGAAATAATTTGTTCCAAGTTCCTCTTGACTTGAGCATTTGTGTTGAGAAGTCAGCTGTGATTCTGATGGGATTTCCTTATAGGTGATTTGTTTCTTTTCCCTAACAGCTTTTAAGATTCTATTCTTGTGTTGATTTTCTGGAGTCTTGATTATGGTATGCCTGGCTGTAGATTTTTTTTTTCCCAGTATCGAACTCACGACATCGCGCTTGCCAGGCAGGCGTTGTGCCGCTGAGCTAAATCCCCAGCTCTTACAGATTTTTTTCTTGATCGTGGCTAATTGGAGTTTTATATGCCTCACTTAAATGTATGTCAAATTCTTTTTCCCTGCTGGGAAGTTTTCTGCCACTACTTCTGTGAACAGTTTTTTTTTTTTTTCAAACTTGTGTTTTTTATTGATTCTGAGCAATCTTACATAACTCTTTTTTGCATCATCTAGCAGCTGTTGGATTGATTTTTTTTTTATGGTCTCTTGCTATTTTTAAGAAATCTTTCTGTTCAAAATTGCTAACCACAATTCTGTCTTTTGTATCTGATATTCTGTCATCACATTGGCTCATTCTGTGTATACTTTCAATGGAATTTTTAATCTGCTAAATAGCTGTTTGAATCTGTTTTACAGATTCCCATCTTTCCTATTTTGTATGTTCATGGTTTTCATCTTTTTCCTAGCCTTCTCTATTTTTTTTCTTTTTTTTTTTTGTATATGCTCTAGAGTCACTATCCATGTCTTTCATTATGGTCACCAACTATTTAGTTATATGACAGATTATTTCTGATTTGATTTTTTTGTAGAGCTTTGTTATCTTCTTTGTTACTTCAGCTGTTACCACTTCCAGTAATCCAGGTGGGTGGCTTTCAAATTATTCTCCCTCATTGTCCCCAGGATTTGCCTTTAGTGAGCTGGAAGTCTGAGGTTGCATCTTAAGTGTCTTGTCATTTTCTTTTTTTTTTTTTAGTTTAATTCTTGGGTTAATGTTTGTAAATTGCTTATAGTAGAAAGCTTTATTGCTAGTATTGAACACCCTTAGAAAATGACTACTTTTCAGGGATGTCTTCTAGGTGTATCTGGCTTTTGGGTTTTGAGTCTGTTGCAAGATCGTATCTCTTCAGTGTATTGCGGATGAGAAATTGCCTTCTATTTGGCATAGCCCCTTGTTCTTTGGCATTGGCCTATAGCATTGTTTCTGATCCTTAGGCGGTCTCAGTCTTGGCATACCTGGAAGAACTACTGATTAAGTAATTATGTCAGCTTGGCTAAAGTAGTACAGTGAGCTGTAACAGTAGCGCTCAGACAGCCTAGAAAATGACAAACTGTGGTGACTATTAATTTGCCACCTTTAACTGTATCAACTAGATTTGTGGTTATATATCAAAGGCTAAAACACACCACAAAATTGTATATTGTAGATATGCCCTCAGTATGGCAATTTTACCCTTAGGGGATAAAAATTCAAACGGGTTGGGGGAAGAAATAGAGAAATAGGAGATGAAGAAGAGATTAGAAGTAAGGCTGGAGGACAAAGGATTGCTCAAACTTTGGGAAACTGGTGAGGAAGACAGGAGGGATTTAAAAAATAAAGACAATAGAACAATAGGAAGAAAACTAGAAACAGTGTTCACCTTGATATAAACAAGTAATAAATTAAGAAAAAAGAAACAAAAAACAAGAAAAGGAAAACAAAGTCCACTTTTTTTTGGTTGTCTGATGTTATTACTAGGCAAAGGGGGCTGACAGAGCACATATCCATGTCAGTTAATCCCAGCAAGCTAGCCGTAATTTAGGAGAGGATAGTGGATAATCCCGGGATAGTAGATAATCCCAGGAAACTTGCACCTTTCAGTTCTGCTGAAGTTCAGCCTTTTTTCTGGCGGTGAGGCTGGACCACAATTTGTTCAGTCTGCAACAAGTCCATGTGCCTTCTGTTGGCTTGACCTCTGGTCTCTGGTGGCTTGAACTCGGCTCTTTGATGTCCTGCAAACTTGGACTTGGTTCTGCCTCCCCCTGGCACTGGGAGCTGCGAGATGGAGCCAGCCCGCAGCTGGTCTGAGTTCCAAACTCACTTTGCTCCTCTCCAAGATGGCTGCCAGTCAGTTACCTTCTTCTGGGGAATGTGTGAATCTGTATAAGTCACTAACTGCTGCAGTCTGCTGCATGCACTGCTATGTGTCTCCATGCAGAACTCTGGGGTTGCCAGTAGAAATAGGTCAGAGAACTATTGTGTTCATCTGCAGGTTTGAGCCACCCCTCCCATGAAGTGAGTCAGAGCTCTGGGAGAAAGCACTGCCTATCACTTCCATCTTTGGTGAAGTCTGTCTCCCTCCTTTCCCTGTGGGCTTTAATTCTCATTTCAGATCCTTGCTGGGTCCTGGGAACCCCTTTCCCTCTTTATTCTCTTCCTCACATTGCTGTATTCCAGTGTGGGGACAGTAAATCTTGACGAGCCTGTTTCTCTGCTGCTTACTATTCTGCCATCTTTCTAGAAGTTTGTTTCACTGTGTTTAAAGCAGTGACCACTTACCAAATCTAATGCCTGGTTTGGTCCTTTCCTTGTTGCTGGCGCTTATTTTTTGCTAGTTCAATCAGTGAATGAATACACCGAGTGGTCTTTTTTAGTGCTAATCAGCTGTATTACAGTCTTAGTGCTACTATTATAATCTTTTGTTTGAACTGCCTTTTCTTGCACAACTCTTTGTTTTTTCCTATATTTGTTCTTCTCTGACCTATTTCATTTTGGTTTCCTTTGCTTTTGCCATTATCCGCTAACATCTGAATAACCTAAAGGGTTCCCCTTTGCTCTTCTATCTTTTATAACTCTACATGATACTGGAAGACCAGTCAGAAGCCCTGTCCTGGGTTTGAACTCACATTTTCAACCATTTGTAGATCAAACTTTCCCATAAACGCTTCCCATTTTATCTTTCAATTCTACTTCTAGGTATTTACCCAAAATTTGTCATAAGTATACCAGACACTTAACATGTTTAAAGTCATAGTTATTATACATCTGTTAACATGGCTACAATTATCAACAGCAGTCTTGACAATAGGAAGTAGAGACAGGATGCAAAACACTTGAAATTGTCATGTGGGAGTTCAAGATGGAACTGTAGCTTTAGAAAGCAGTTTGACAGCTGGGGATATAGCTCAGAGGCACAACGCCGCCTGGCAAAGCTTGAGGTCCTGATATCAATTCTTGGTACAGAAAAAAAAAAAGAAAGCAATTTGACAGTTTCTTATAAAGTGAGCACACGCTTCCCATTTTATCTTTCAATTCTACTTCTAGGTATTTACCCAAAAGAAATTTTGAAATATTTAATGTTTATACAAGCACCTATAAATATTTGTAGCAGCTTCATTTATAACCATCTAAAACTGAAATCCACTGAAATTTTACTCAAAGAATAAATCAGTAAGCTGCCATCAGAGTACTACTCAGCAATAAAGGACAAATGATATGTGTTAACAACATTGTGGCTTTCAAATATTAAATAAGCCAGACTCAAAAGACCACATGCTATATGATTCAGTTTATGTGGCATTCAGGAAAGGCCAGAACTATGCAGCTAGAATTTAAGTCAGTGGCGTGAAGCACAAGGATGGGGCAGGGAGAAGGCCATTTGGAATAACCTGAAAGTTTCTTTTGTTGTTGTTGGTTTTTTGGTTTTTTTTTTTGATGGTAGAGGAACTGTTCTGTCTTGACTGATGGTCTTAAAGCTTGTGCATTTGTTATATTCATAGACTTGTATGCTGAAAGACTATATATTCAGTATAGACAGAGCATACATTACTGTAGGTAAAAAGAAATTGAAAAGATGTGAATTCATTATCAATCTTGATGACAAGTGAGAGAATGTATTCTTTGTATATAAGTTTCAGATGTATTTTGTTGGTCTGTGTAATCAGTCTGAATTTAGTTGCCCTAGAGCAGTGATGGAAAGTGCCCAGGCCTACTGTTTGTTATCATTGAAAGCTCTAAAAGGCTTACTGTCACTGCCCTAGGGAAAAGGTCTCACTTTGTTTTTAGAGTTATTCAGGTCTGTTTTCTGCTCTTTTTCCTTAAGATTCCATGGCTAGTCTAGGAAAAGATAACTACAGAATGAAAAGTTATAAGAATAAAGCCCTAAATCCTCAAGAGATGCGTAGAAGGAGAGAAGAAGAAGGAATACAGCTTCGTAAACAAAAAAGGGAAGAACAGGTAGGATTTGAAAATACTTCCTTTTATTTGACAAAAAAGTGAACCAAACTCCTATGCTATTTTTTTTTTTTTCCTATGCTATTTTTAATCACTGAGAGCCATGACATTTCTGTTTTGATAAATCTTTTTTTATTGTTACCCCACTAAGAAATTTTTACTGTTGGATCATTTGGATCATTTCCATCTTTCATTGTAAAAGTTGCCTTTCACCCCACAAAACCATGAATTATGTTTATTATTGCTTTGGGGTGTTCATAGCTCTTTATATTGATTATAGTTACCTTCTTGTGTTAGTCATTCTCTTTTTCCTGTAATCTCATCAGCAAGAGCTCTTAGTCTCCTCCATTTATATTTTGTACATGTAACACAAAGAATAGAAATCATTTAAGGAGACTATCTCAACATTTTATTCTAAGATATCCATAAAGGTAGAAAAACTTATAAATAAATAATATTTACTAATAACATTTTCAAATAAAACTGATGTATGAAAAGGACTAGTGAAGAAAGTGGAAAAAAGCCCATTTTAGAAATATCATTAAGAGCTGGGAGTGGTGGAGCATGCCTATAATTCCAGTACTCAGGAGGCTGAAGCAGGAGGATTCCAGGGAGTTTGAGGGCAGCTTGGGGTTAACAAAGTAAGTTCAAGACCAGCCTGAACTACATAAAGAGACCCTGTCTCAAAAGAAAAAAAATATCAGAAATGTCATTATAATTAATTCTTTATCTGTAGTATTTTGCACAGTCCTTAATGTGTTACACTAAACATTCAAGAGAAAAACTGAATCCTGTTGATTAAAAAGAAATATATATAGATTGAAGAAAAGCAGTATTTAGCTAGCAAAGAGAACGTAATTTGTTTTGTTTTTTTGAGGCAGGGTCTTACTATGTAGTTTAGGCTGGCCCTGAATTTACTGCGTAGCCCAGGCTGGCCTCAAGCTCACAGTGATCCTCCTGCCTCAGCCTCCCGAGTACTGGGATTACAGGTGTACGCCACCACTCCTGACGAAGAATGTAGTGTTTTTCCTCAGTTTTGATCTAGGAAATAATCCTGTAAATATCCTTCAGTGCCTTCATATCTCTTTTTTCCTTTTCTTCTTCTTCTTTTTTTTATCTACTTCTAGATAAAAATAAGTATGGGAGTGGTTTTCCGAGTTCTTGTTAATTGGATGTACTAGCTGTTAGTATACCATATGTTATTTCTCTTATGTAACAGCTTTACTTCTTAATTAAGGCTCTTGGAAAAATTTTCAGACATTCTTATAATGTGGGAATACATGCACTTTTAAATGCTGTAAAATGTAAATGTGTACTTCAGTATCTTAAATTACGAAGTTATGTGCTGTATTCACTCAAATGAAAAATGTAGCTCTGTGACAGTTGAATGTTCTGTGCAAAGCTCAAAATATAAAGTCATTTTTCTTTACTGTAGTTGTTCAAACGAAGAAATGTCTCTTTGCCCAGAAATGACGACTCTATGCTAGAAAGTCCTATCCAGGATCCAGATATCAGTTCCACCATACCCATTCCAGAGGTATGTTTTATAAATGTATTTTGTGTTTGTTTTTCTCTTTTTTTTTGTTGTTCTTTTTTTCTGGTACCGGGAATTGAATTCACGACCTTGTGCTTGCCAGGCAGGCACTGTGCCGCTGAGCTAAATCCCCAGCCCCTATAAATGTATTTTGAATTATGCCTTAGCAGTATTTCAGAGACAGTGCTTATAGCAAATACTATTCATACAAAACATTTAAATGTTAATTTTATTTTCTTTTGTGTGTTTCAGGAAGATGTTATTACCAAAGATATGGTGCATATGATTTTTTCTAATAATGCTGAAGAACAGCTAATGGCAACACAGAAATTTAGAAAGCTCCTTTCTAAAGGCAAGGATTATTTTTAATATGCTTAATTGATATTATAGGATTTTGTAATAGAGCTTCATTTTATTAGACTTCAAAAATTTTTTAATACCCTTTCTTTACCAGATAATAGGTTTTTTTTACAGTGCTTTAAAAATATATACAGAGCTGGGCGTGGTGGTGCATACCTGTAATCCCAGCATGCAGGAGGCTGAAGGAGGAGGATTGCTGTGAGTTTGAGGCCAGCCTGGGCTACATAGTGAATTTAAGGTCAGCTTGAACTACATAGTAAGACCCTGTCTCAAAAAACAAACCAAAAAAACCTAAAAAAAAAACAAATATACACAAAGTAATATTTTTTTTATTATCAGAGTATCCTATTCATTTTAGAAAAATTGCAAAATAGGGAAGAATTCAAAGAAACAAAAGTTGATTAATCTAGATGCAAGAAACTTATAAATTCTTATGGAAGTATTTTTCTTTTTTTTGGTTTTTCTCCGGTACTGGGAACCGAACTCACGACCTTGCACATGCCAGGCAGGCGCTTTTGTCGCTGAGCTAAATCCCCAGCCCCTTTATGAAAGTATTTTTCAAACATAATGTTTTTAAATGATGATGCAACATTATAGAATGTGAATTTAAAATAATAATCATTGAGGCCTTAAATTTTTCCCAGCTTTTGAATATTATAACCATTTCTACAATAATCATTATATAATCTAAAACTTCCTTAATGTACATTCAGAAAAGTGAAATGGTGAGTCAGAGACTATAAACAATTTACACTCTCATCTGCAGTTTGTACAAGTATTTATTTTACCGTACTTTTATTGACATAATTGTTTTTTAATACAAATGCTTATGTAATTGTTCTTTGTATAGTCTTTTTTTGTTGGACTAGGAGTTGAACTCAGGACCTCATGCTTGCCAGGCAGGTGCTGTGCCACTGACCTATATCCTTAGATCTCTCCTTTTTTTTCTTAATTAGGTCAAATATTTCCCTTTTTTTATTGACCTTACATAATTCAGAACTGTTATTTACCCAAACTTACTATATTGAGTTGAGAAGAATCATTAAATAAAAATTTAAGCTTTAGTCTCTTATTTTCATATGTAGAATTTACAGAATTTGTACTTATATGGAATTACATATATGAACTGTTAAGATTTTGAAAATGCCTCACCTTCCTAAGAGGGACAGAATTTGCTGATACATGAAGAATGAAAGAAATCTTATGGTCAGGTACTCATAGGTTCTAAGGCTTTTTTACTTTTGTTTTTTTACAACTACACATTCATAAATGCACTTAATTCTTGTTTTCCATTCTTCAGTCCAAAATAAAGTAGCTTAGCAATGTTACAAAATCATTATACAGTCAAGAGTGACTTCTTTTCCATACCACATTTCAGGATTTGTTGTTGTTTTGGTAATTGATACTAGTTTGGCTAGATTAATATTTTGGGGTTTTTTTATATTGTCATATTCTCTTTCAAGATTTTTTTGACACATGCTGGATGCCATAAATGATTAACAGAATTTCTGTGGATTTTATTGTGTCTTAAGAGTTTGTTACCAGTATTCATATACCATAACTTCACCATTATTGAAATGTTTGTTTTAATCAAGGTAGAGCATGACTCAGAGGATTTTCTTTTCTTTACATTCTTCCCTTTCTTGAAAGTTGCATTGGTACAATGTGTGAAGGCTCCTTACATTTATGAGGAAGTTGTCCGTATTTAGAATTGTTTGGTCAGAAGATTTTATCTTCATTTTCTCTAGTTACTGAGTATTCTGTTTCTGTAAATTGCTTCTTCATAGAGACAGTCATTTTTCTCTGTTTCCTCTTGAAAGTGGGATTTTGCTGGGGCATGCATGAGAAAATAGAGATTTTTTTTAAACTAGTCAACGTAATTCCTGCCAGGTCTATCAGGCTTAGAAAAATATTAGAATTACTACAGTTTCACTTCATCTGTTAATATAATAAACATGGGAAAGCTGTTATAACTAGACCTGAAAGATAAACCAGTAGGAAACATTGCCTCTTTTAGCAGCATTTCTTTATTGCAAATAACACTGTCCCTGTTGGTACTAGGGAGGTAGAGATATGTCCCTGGTGACTCCTCAGCCTACACTTAGCTTCCTTGTATTCCTCTGATTTAACTCGTGGTATTGACCTTTTGCTGAAATCTTTTTTTCTTTTCTATCATGGCTGTTCTTGTGAATGTAAATAACAAGTCATCTTTATTGTTGTAGTTTGACCTAGTTTTGTAGCAATTGCTCCAAAGCTTTTTTGTTTCATATTATTCTTGCTCAATTTTCTTTTCTTTCTCTAATTTTTTAAATTTAAAAGATTGCAATTAGTACATGATTGCAGTTTTAATGACTACATTCATTGTGGATAGTTGGTACAGGTACATAATACATCTTAATTCTTTTCACTTTCTCTCTCCTTCATCCTCTTGCTTAGTTTTCAGTGCTGAAGTAAATATTGCTTTATTGCTTCTTTGCAATAAGGACTGAAAGACTTTATGATGGTTTGTCATTTTTATAACATTATATAGACCAGTGGTGGTGAATCTATTGCATGCATGTTATTGTATTTTTTCTTTTTAGACCAAAATGTTAATGTAGAATTGTTTTTTCTAAACTAAAATCTCAGTATTCAGGTTTAATTGCAGAGTTGGCACTTCATGATAAGTAAGTGTCTTTTGAGTTGCAATTTGACACTTGGTCTCAAAAAGATTTGCCATCACTAATATGGACTATTATTTTGTCAATACAGTACTAAAAACAGTTCATGGTACGTAGATTAGCTGGCAGTCTTGCTTTCTTTTCAGTGGAGATAACCATAAACATGTGTCTTGTAATTCCTTAGGAAGAGACTGTATTTGTGCTCTCATCTCTGTGTGTCTTATCTATATCTGAATCTGCCTACTTATGTGTAGCCAGTAATCCAATGCCAGCTGTTCACAGCCATCTGAACAAAATCTTCTTCCAACCTCATCTCCTACTCAAAAAAAAAGTGATAAATTTTTATCTGTTTTTTTTTTTTGTCTTCTTGAGACAGGTTCTCACTACGCAGTTCAGGCTGGTCTTGAACATGCAACGATCCTCCTGCCTCAGCCTCCTGAGTGCTGGGATTATAGGAGTGTGCCACCACACCCGGCAAATTTTTGTCTTTTACAGATAGTAAATTAGAATTTCCTTTTGGAAAGAGAAAAATCAAGAATGTGAAGTGGAAACTGAAACCTTATAGTTTTGGTTTGAGTGTTTTTAAAGGTGGAAGGTAAATGGTTTAAGAAATTATATATTGTTTTATCCTTTCAGATAGGATCTGGAATTAAACTTTAGAAGAATTTGGACTTTTTATTTAGAGCTCTAAACCAAATTAATAGGTATAGCTTTATTAATTAATTTTATAGAATTTAAAAGTAAAAATGAGAGTTCTCTTTTTTTATGATTAGATGACCAGGTAACTTAGTACTAGACAGGTATGACCTGTGGATATAGGACCAGGGGGAAAAAAGTAAGTGTAGTGGTATGAGTTTACCTTTGCTTATGCTACGTTTTTAAGAATATAGGAAAACAAATGTGACTCTAATAGGCACAGATATGGTCTGGAATATGGAAAAATTCATTTAGGGGAGTTTGTGAATTAGCATAAATGATAATAAGTGACAACTGAATTAACAGAACAGATAAATTTTCTAGGAAGAAAATAAATAGGAATAAGAGTTACCCAAAGGAACACCAACAGAGGTACTGAAGAAGCACAAAGCCAAGGTAGAGAAAAGATCTCTTTGTACTTATTGGGTCAGTATCTAAAATATTCTTTAAACTTTATCTGCATTTCCTTGGAGTTTGTGATTCTCAGAAGCCTTTTACATTCATAAGAATTTATCAAGAAATTTAATAGCATTTTTGGAAATAACAAGTAATGTTACAAATTATAATTACAAAATAGAATAAAATAGAATAATTACAAAGTAGAATCCCTGGCTGAGGAACATTAAATAACTCATCATTTTACAGAGTTGTCCTTGGATATCAAGTACTTAAGAATTACTGGGAACCTATCCCTGAGATACTGTTTTGAGTATTGAACTGAAATCCCTCTGTGTATAAAGCTGACCTCCTAAGTAAGCTTCAACTTACAAAATTTAAACTTACAGGAAATACATATTTTAATTTCCAAATATGTAAGAAATACATATTTAAATATTTAAATAGCCTATCATTATGGTTAATGGAAAGGTAGAATTTGCTTTGCATAAATATTGCAGTTATAAGAGCATTTGTTTTCAGTTATTTCCAGCTCAGAGTTTTAAACTTAGCTCTATGAAACCTAGGTGAGTTATTTTGTGTAACTTGTTAACTGAAATAGTCTTTGTGTTTAAGTGATCATTTCTTATTTTTAGAACCTAATCCTCCAATAGATCAAGTTATACAGAAACCAGGAGTCGTTCAGAGATTCGTGAAATTTCTTGAAAGAAATGAAAATTGTACTTTACAAGTGAGTCTAACATTTTCTTTCTTAATCTCTTTATAGAAATGACATACTAAAGGTTCTAGTGAAAACACTTTGTCCAGTAATGACTACGTTGCAGATATTCAGTAAATACTTACTAGTTAAAGGAAAAGTTAGGGTTACCTGTCTTGCTCTGGGAATAGTTACAGTGCTAGCTTCTCCTAGGAATTGTTGTTTCGTTAAACAGTTTGAAAAAGTATGTGAAACCATTGTTAATGTTAACAGAAATTTTATAGTTGTTAATCTTTAATAAAAGTTTCTTTTGGAAAACCTCAAAATAAAATGTTAACTTAGTAGTTAAATTTATTTTGGTTGTTAGCTAACCAGAGTTGTAACTTTCACCTTTAAAACACATTGCTGTTTGATTAGTTCTTAGAAAAAAGAATAAATTAGTATACTTAAAAATGTGACCAGTTACCCAGCTATCCTGTGCATGTATGTTTTTTTCCCTTTGCTTCTTTCCTTCGTCTTTCCTTTCCATCATCCCAGCTGTTTGTTCCTTTTGAACAATTTCTTTCCTTTTCACAGTGTCTTTTGTACCTTTCAGATTTTATTTGCTTTCAGGTTCTTGTTGGTTTATTGAGAGGAACAGTTAATGTTTTAGTTGTTTGATCAATCTGGCACGCCTGTACTTGTAAATCTGAGCAACTACTTTGCAGATAACAATATGTAGTACAACAACCATTGTTAATTTCCTATCATTGTGTTTTGGAATTCTGAATCGTTTTTATTGTTTTTGTTGTTTCGTTTTTGTCATTGTTTTTGTTATTTTGTTTCTGTTCTTTTCCCTTTAAAATAAAGTTTTTAAAAAGGTAACCAAAATTAGGTTTGTCCTAAAGAGCATTACTTCTCAGTCATAAATAATTTGTTGCTAATGGTGAACTATGGAAGTTTCTAAGTATTTTAATGTTGAAACAACAACAGAATAAAATAATGATACTTCCTGACTTCATATGTTTTTCCAGCAGTGCTGGGGATCAAAATCAGGGCCTTGCATACTTGACAGGCACTTTCTGATCTACAGCCCTAGCCCTGCTGTGTCTTTTCTTAAAAGGGCACAGGGTGGATTATATCTTACGTTTCAGGAGTTGCAGAGGACCTATACCTAATTATCCGTGCCGTTGTCAGTAATGGAAAGTAGTTATCTGAGTAACAGTTGAATTTACAATGTGAGTAGTGGTCCACTTACCTGAATGATTTGGGAAAGGCTCTCACATTTTAAGTATAAGGAAAGGATTTTTTTGTAAATGTGAAAGGTTGTTGAGAATGTTCACAAGGATCTCTGAGGAAAAGGCTAAATTTTTCAGGTTACGCTGTTACAGTCACTTCTTTTGGGTTAGATCCTGAGATCTAGTCCTTTTGTTTTATATAAGCTCTGAATCTAGAATAAAACCCAGGTTTCCCGATGTCTAGTTTATTGGGCTCTTTAATTTGAACAGAATGGAAAAAGAAATGAGTGAATACTAATAAAGTCAGTGAGTACTGGTTTGAGCCCAGCATTATGTAAGACATAATTTTGTAGTTCCAAAATTAAGATGTTGTTCCAGACATAAACAGATCTATAATAAGATGTATGCTTAGTGCAATAACAGAACTATAAACCAAGTGCTGAGAGAACACAGCGGTCATAGCAGCTTGTTTTGTGTAGAGAAAATTAAGGACTTTACAAAGTTGGTCCTGAGGATGAAGGAGACTTTGACAGACTAGAAAGAGGAAAACAAATTTCATGTTGAAAAGACAAAACATATAGAAAGCATGGCATAAGAATGAATGTTGGAAATTTGAGCACTTACTAATTTCTTATAATTAAAGCTTAAATTCAACAGTATGGCCTAGCCCCATGTCGTGCATGTTACCCTAGTGCTTGTGAATATACTAGTTCAGACTACTGGTCTAATAGGGAAGCCTCAGATGGGTCCAACTGGCAAGACTGATGGACAAACAAGTTTTATTTGGTCTGCACCCACATTTTACACTTGATCATAGCCAAAAGGCCAGGAAGTTATGCCCATGTTTTAAAGCATGTCAAGGTGCTTATCAGACTTAAAACTTGGGGGAATTTCAGGTGAAAACCCATTTTTTTTTCAGCTTACTTTGACAGATCAGAAGAGTTAGCTTTAATGCAACATAGTAGAGATGAAATGGATCTGAACAGGAGTTCTACGTTTTTCTTTTTTTTCCTCAAGTGCTGGGGAATGAACCCAGGGCCATAAGCATGTTAGGCAAGTGCTTTACTGCTCAGCTACATATCCAGGCCTTTTCTTTCCTTTTTAAAATTGTAGCTTGCATCTGGTTTTTCACAGTTTTGGTAGGTTTGTGAATTTTAAGTCTTCACTAATGCTTGCTTCTAGGAGAGTACAAGGAGAATTTTGTGCGGTAGTCTTTCGTTGTCTTTTATTTCATTACTTATAATAGTTAGGATTATGGTCTTGTAACTTTGTCATTTTTCTTTCTTCTTATTTTAGTAGGGCTGAGGTTTGTTCCCAGGGCCTTTTACATGCTAGGCAAGTGCTCTATCACTGAGATATACCCCCAGCCATTACTTATTTTTTTAATACAGATTCTTCCCTTAAAATTTTTCTTAGTCTCACTCATAATAGTATACCTTTTAGTATTTCAGTAGTGATTTTTGTTGTATTTTTTGTTAATTTATGACTACATTAGAATGCTATCTATTCTTGTAAACTATAGTCCCTATTTAGTTTGTGAATTTATAGATTGCTTTTTGTGTTTGCTGCCTTACTGTTTGGGGGCTATAGATGGACTTTTCTCAGTCACTGCTATTAAAATTCATATTTAATGAATTTAATTCTAACTGGATTGATACAAGTAAATTCTCAAAGGCTCTGCTGCTTAAAAGAATAGCAGGAATCCTACTCCTGGTTCTGGTAATAGTAAAATCCTTATGTTGAACAAACATCTAAATTTCTGAGCATCTAATTATCTTGTTTCTTAAATGAGGAGGTTGGTGATAGTTGATCGCAATAGAAATACGTATTTTTTGCAATTCTGTTGCTCTATTAGGTAGTGTCTCATTTATTTTTGAACTGCTTGCTTTAGAACACTGACTAATAGTAAGCATTAGGAGTTTCATGAATTATAGAATAGTGTGTTGTTATATGCAGTGTTACTGATTTTTTAAATTTCCATTTTCCTTCTGGGTCTTGTTTTTCAGATGGAAGAATAGGGTTTTTTCTTTTCTGTTTTGAAGAGCAGGATGTATTTACTGGAGAAAGAAAGCTTTCATCTGAGAGAGACAGAAAGGGTCCTGAGTGGGTTGCTGAGGACCCTGCCTTTTCTAGGGATTTCCATAGAGCAAAACCATGAAGTGAGGCAGGTACAAGGTGGGGAAAAATGGGAAATCACAAGGTGGGCGTGAGGTGGGACAAAACCATGGTCAACCAACAAGACTGTGAGCATAATTGCTCAGGTAATTATTGATTAAATGGGGATCAAATAGGGAAGCAATTCTTGCAGGAAGAGGGCATGAAACAGAATAGGGTTTTTTCCTGGAGAGGGCAGGTCAGTGGCTCTTCCTGGCTTTCCAGAGGCAATTGATACCTATTTAGCATATCAAGCCCTGTTGTTTATCCTCAGGGGAAGTATGTGGGTGAATTGGTTTCATTTTTTGTCTTGAGGTGTGGCCCTCAGAAGACGTATCTGTCTTCCCCAACAGTTGCAATGTATTTGGTCTGGTGTACTGGCTGCTTTGAGGGCCTAGTCCTGTCTGACTGCATATAATATTTCTGTCTAACTTAGCTGTCTATAACATTCCCCCCTATGAAGAAGCATCCTGAACTGCCATGAGGGACCAGTGGATGATGACTGATCTGGCTTCCTCAAGTTGAAAGGGTTCGTAATTGAGATCAGCAGTCAGAGATACTCTGCTATGCAGGGTCTGTCTAAAAACCCTCAGTAGATGCCAGGCATTTTTGTCTTGGGTAAGCATATACCTTTAAGTCTGGAGGAGACAAAGCCAAAGAAACAATTAAGTATTCATCGGCCAAATAATGAGATCAACAGGGTAATTGTGAATATAGCCAACAAAGCTTTCCACCAGGAGGTGTCAATAATAAGAATAAGGTCCAGGGAATTTTGGAGTCTGACATGTCATTAATTTGTTGTCTAACATATATCTTGAACAGCTATTGAGAGATTAGAAGAATCGGGAATGTACACACAACATTCCGCTTTTACCATGCACAAGTACTCCCCTGTGTTGCTGTTAGACCGTCTCCTGCCGTCTGTGTTGGAGGATGGCTTGTCTCATTAATTTTACCTCTTCATTTAGGAGACAGAGATTAGTTGCGTGTTCTCTAAAGCCTGCTGAATACAGTAAGTTAAGGCCTCAATGTGTCATATAACCTTCTCGACAAGGTCCATCTGGTGGACCCCAGTAAAAGGAGTGTAGTATATTTGTTGTTGGTTTTATCTGTATGATCACTTGGGGTTTGGCAATCTCTTGGCAAGAATAAACAAATTTTTGAGAAGTTAGAGCATGTATAATCAAAGCATGAGCACTAGAGTGAACAGGTAATTCTGAAAACTATTCTTAAGGGACTGGAATAGTAGTTGTAACCCACTGGCTCTTAGACCTCTCTTGATGGAGTCTGCTATTTTGTTATAAGTCCTTCCAGTTTTAGCTATAATTATCTCCAAAATTTTGATGACTTGAGAGGGTTTTTTCTTAATAACAATTTTCATCTGTGAAGTCTGATTTGACAGTGAATCTTATTCTGTCTTTCCTCTCAGACTTGTCCAGCTAAGTTTTGTATGTCTCTCTCTTCTTCCTGATACTTCTTTTGTGGTTTCATTTATTTTGCTTTCTCCCCCTTAGTTTGAAGCTGCATGGGCATTAACTAATATAGCATCTGGAACTTTTCTGCATACAAAAGTAGTGATTGAAACTGGAGCAGTTCCGATTTTTATCAAACTTCTTAATTCAGAACACGAGGATGTTCAAGAACAAGTAAGTTGCTAATTTGTACTGATTTATATATGTGTGTGTGTATATTTATATCTATAGTTACATATATATTTTTTCTCTTGAAAATACCATTTATGATTTTAATTTATAATTCATTTTTTTGGCTAATTTTCCTATACATTGTATGTGTTAATGTAATTATCAAATTAGAAAAGTAAAAGAATGATCTTCCTCAGGCATAGTCCTGTTTTCTTCAGAAATGTGGTGTTAGCTATCATAGGAGTCACCATTCCTATGTAAAGAGCATGCTGAGACCCAGAAAAATTACTAGATGAGCAAAGGTTACAGTAAATGACTGGCAGGTTTTAAATCAGAAGCAGTCTGAGTCCTTATGCTCTGTATGTGAGGTGATTGTTTTAATATTGTTTCTTTTAAAAATACTACATTGCTTTAAATAGGGCCATTTTTAAATATGCTTTTTGAATCAATTTTCAAAGTTTTCTTGCTAGAGGGAAAATTTGTTCACATATAGTTGTACCATCCAAACAAAATCAAATATTTCAGTATTTTTATTTTGCGTCATTTGTGTGCACATTGATCTGTTAATCTATCATTTCATTCATCACTGAATTGTACGTCTTTTTTTATATTCATTTAGCACTAGTTGGGAACTTTTTCTTATGGCATTATTTTTTGAAGAAAATTTCACTGATTACTCAGTATATACTCGTGTGTTTTACATAATTTATTATCCTTGGATTTTTATACCTTTGAGTTATTTCTAGTTTACCAGTGTTAATACTGGAATATATAATCGTTATATATCTGTTTTTGAGTTGCTTCATTATTTTATTAATGGAAATGATTATCCTGTCAAAAAATAGAAAAAAAAACTTCAAAGTATTAAATATTTCAAGATTGAATTACAAAAATAGAGCAATAACATCTCCACCAACAGAATATATTTAGAGTTTTTTGTTTAAAAAGTAAGGTTAGCTACCATTAGCATACTTCACAGATCTCGAGAAAACATGCTTTAAATTCATCTGGAGCCAGAAGAAATCCAGAATAGCAAAAGCAATCCTGGGCAACAAGGACAAGTCAGGTGGAATCACAATCCCTGACCTGAAATTATGCTACAAAGCTACTGTCATCAAATCAACCTGGTACTGGCTAAAAAACAGACCTGAGGATCAATGGAACAGACTGGAAGAAATAGCCACAACCCAAAACACACTCAGCTACCTAATCTTTGATAAACAAACTCACTGCAAGAACGATAGCCTCTTCAATAAATGGTGCTGGAAACATTGGCTTGCCACCTGCCAAAGACTGAAGAGAGACCCAAGTCTTATCACCATGCACCAAACTCAAGTCATAATGGTTCACAGATCTCAATATTAAACCAGAAACACTAAATCTATTGGAAGAGAAAGTAGGTAAAAACCTTGAAGACATAGTGGTAGGCAGAGAGTTCATGAACAAAAACCAAACTGCACGTGAAACACTTGAAAGAATCAACAACTGGGATCTCATCCTACTGAAAAGTTTCTGCACATCTAAAGAAATCACCAGCAGAGTAAAAAGAAAACCCACAAACCTAGAAATATTTTAGCTGACTGTCCCTCAGATGAAGGGCTTCTATCTAGAACGTATAAAGAATTAAAAAATATTAGCCCCCCTCAAATTCAAAGACCCAATCCAAAAATGAGCAGCTGAGATGAACACACACTTCTCAGATAATGAAATACAATTGGCAAATAAATACATGAGAAAATGTTCAACATCATTAGTCATTCGAGAAATGCAAATTAAAGCAACATTGACATTTCATCTCACCCCAGTAAGAATGGCTAGCATTAAGAAATCAACCAATAACAAATGCTGGCGAGGCTATGGAGAAATAGGAACCCTTCTCCACTGCTGGTGGGAATGCAGACTGGTGAAACCACTGTGGAAATCAGTTTGGAGATTCCTTAGAAAACTGGGACTAGAGGTCCCATTCATCCCAGCTATTCCCCTTCTGGGGATTTTCCCAGAAGACCTAAAAACATCATATCACAGCAATATATGTACACCCATGTTCATAGCAGCCCAATTTGTAATTGCTAAATTGTGGAAGCAACCCAAATGTCCATCCACCGAGGATTGGATAAGAAAATTGTGGTACTTTTATATAATGGAATATTACTCAGCTATAAAGAAAGATAAACTCGAGGCTTTTATAGGTAAATGGTTACAACTAGAGACCATACTCATAAGTGAAATAAATCAGACCTGCATGTGCAAGCACCACATTGTCTCACTAGTGTAAAACCTGAAAGAGTTAATAAAAACTGGGAGGTATGATAGACATTGTGAAATGATAGGAAACCACTCAAGGGTAAAGGGCAACTGGGCTGTGGGAAAACAGAGGGGAACGAGGGAGAAATTTTGTATGTATGTATATATGGGATAGTTAACACAGTATATATGGGATAGTTGATCTACTGTCTTCTATTTCTTTGCTGAAAGAAACTGTTAATGAGTCCTTGATTGATCAGTATTGCATGTCTCTATTTGTTTTCATGAGAAACCACTTTGAAGATATCAATATGTAATACAATAAGCATAGTTAATTTCCTACCACTTTGTTTGTAACTCCATACTGTCTGTACTGTTCTTTTGCTATTTTGTAAAAGGTTGTCTGTCTGTTAATGTTTCCCTCCTTTTATTTCTAAAATTAAAAAAAAAAAAGTAAGTTTAGGTATAGAGTGGAAGTTTAAGATATTAACCCTTGTTGTAAATGTTAAAATTTTCCTAACTGAAAAAAATACACCTGTACTTTTCCACTAAATATGAAAATGTAGAGAATATAATAAAATGATAGTTTGTATTTGCATTTCTAATACAAAGGAATAATCTGATGCTTATTATTTATTTTCAAAATTATATTAAACTGACTGATAAAACTATTTCAATTCTCATTCTTAGCCATGACTTTTTTTAATGCTTTCTCTTTTTTTTTTCTTGTTTTTTGTTTTTTGTTTTTTTTGTTTTTTTTCTCTGGTACCAGGAACCGAACTCACGACCTTGCGCTTGCCAGGCAGGTGCTTTTGCCTCTGAGCTAAATCCCCAGCCCCTTCTTTTTTTTTTCTTACTCTATTTCTTATTTTCTTATTCTAATTCTTATTTCCAGTTAGAGGATTTCTTGGCATAGGAACTGAGCTCTATTATAAATAATTAGAACATTTATTAGATGTATTTTGTCTCCATGTAGATTCAGAGTGAATACATATGCTCTTTGTTGAATAGCGTGTAGATATTTTACTAGTACTGTAAGGAAAATGTTTAAAAATATCCTTATCTTTAAATTTGTTTTAAAGTTGCACTTTCAGAGGTTTTTCTTTTTTATTGCCTTACATTTTTTCTCCCATGTTGAAAACTGTCACCTTCATTCTATACCAGAATTTTGTTTATTTTTATTGTTTGGGTTTTTTTGTTGTTGTTTTGGTTTTTCTTTTTTTTGGTATTTTTTTATGAGGCAAGGTCTCATTGTGTTCCCCAGGGTGGCCAGAATCTCTCCATCCTTCTTGCTTCAGCCTCTGGAATTCTGGGATTATATGCACATGCCTCATACCCAGCTTTGTGAAAACTTCATTCTTAAAAGAGAGCATCTTATTTAAGATACTATTTTAAAATAATTTTTTCTTATTTTTCTCAGGCTGTTTGGGCACTTGGTAATATTGCTGGTGACAATGCAGAATGCAGAGATTTTGTTTTGAATTGTGAAATACTTCCACCTCTTTTAGAGTAAGTACTTTGTTTATCATAAGTTAATTCTACTTTTGGAAAAGGTATACCATATGTGTACATACAGTTAAATTCTTCAACAGTGTTTTATAACTTTGCTTATGGTTAGTTATTACTTGTAAGTAGGTAAAACCAGGAAAAGTTTTTAGATTATATCATTTCTATGTCTTTTATATTCTTTTAAACCACACTTGATAGTGATTGTTGCTTACTTTGGTAGCATAAATATTCTGCAAATAGGTGTGTAATAGTTTATAAGACAGTAAACTTTAAATGTTTCTATAGCATGGAGTTTTTAATGCGGGAACACAAGATACACTTAGGATGTCACTGGATTTTTCTTTTTTTTTATTTTTTATTTTTTATTTTTGTTTTTTTCTGGTACCAGGAACCAAACTCACGACCTTGCGCTTGCCAGGCAGGCACTTTGCCACTGAGCTAAATCCCCAGCCCCTGAATTTTTCTATTTGATTTTTAAATGTTCAGAGAACAAAGGTCAAAAGAGATTTTTCTTTCTTGTCTAGTGGTTTCTTCAGCGGCTTTACACATTTTTTTAGAAAGAAATTACCTATACTGTAAGGTCCTTTGCAGAAATTACATAAAGTTTTTTAAAGCATAGATTTCTTTATTTTGTTTATCATTCATAAAAAAAAGATCTTTAATTCAGCTAAATACAGTGGCAAGTCGTGAGAAAGAAAGGTTGTAAGGAAATATTTTAATTCTTTATCATTTCTGTGCTATTCTCTATCCTCTCTAGTTGAGTTACTTTCTATGACTTCCTGCAACTAATTCTAATTATAGACCTGTTCCTCCTGGGCCACTGAACCACTCCCATCACTTTTATTACTGTGAACTTACCCAGTATTCCAACTCCATGAGAATTTAACTGAACTCTAGAAGAAAATAGTGATTTCAAGTTACGTATCAGGGTCATCTTTTGAAGTCTGCACTATTAACAATATCTCTTATAATTTCAATAAGACATTTTGGTGACCATATATATATATGCTTTGTATATTAATGTAGTATTTGTGTCTCTTACTACTTTTGATTGTTTTTTCTAGATCATTTTAGTATTAATACCTCAAGTTGGTAGTGGTTTATGAAGTAATAAGCATCTGTTTTGTCTCATCCTTTTCAATGTCCTAAGGAGCTTTTAAATCATGATTGAAGAAACAAACTAGTGGAGCACCTACAGCACCTAGCTATGTAGTACTATATGTAAACACAATGAATTTCAGAAAAAGGTGTTAGAATGTTGGAAAGTTTAGTTTCATTGTAAAATTTTATCTTAGGAAAATTTCAAAATTTCATTAAAGTTTTTGAGAAATGTAATAAAAAGGAAAGTTAGCTACAGGGTGTTCCCACTTTAAGGGAAAAGTTACTAGTTTAAAAATGATTATGAGTTATCTGTTAATCATGTTGAAATTCACATTTAGCTAATGTTTATCAGTTATGTTTGAAGTTTTAATTTATTGCTGGATCATTTGATTATTGATAAATATAAATCTATTACTACTGTAGACTATATAACTTTATGACTTTTGTAGTGTCAACTTATTTCTTATTTTATTTTTTGGCCAAAGACTCAACTATGTAGACCAGGCTGGCCTTGAACTTGTGATCTCCCTCAACCTCCTACTCATGGGATTACAAGCATGTATCATAACTCCTAGCTGGTAGTTTAAATTTCATTAAACTTTAATTTGTAGGAAACTGTTTTCACTTCCTTATAATAATAATAATGATCTCATTAACACAGAAAAAGAAGGCCAACGTAGTCCCTCAAGCCTGTTCTCGCTTGGTACCTGTTTTTATATATTAACTTTTTTAGACCACAATAATACTCATTCACTTAATTACTAAACTTCAGTTGCTTCCGTGTGCTGTCAGTAGAATTAAGTGGATGCAGAAAAGAGCCTAAAATATTTACTGAAAGAAATATGTCAACTCCGATAGTCAGAAGTATATAACTATTTTGCTTCTAGATGAAGTACATACTTTAGGAGGCCTTAAAGCTATTTATAGGAAAATCTGTAGAACAGAAAAATTTTTAGTATTTAAAATACAGATATTGTGAAATTCGGTGGCATGGAGTGCATTTCCCAGTGCTTCATAACTGTCACTGTTGTCCAGAACTTTTCACCAGCTCTAACAGAAACCCAGCAGCCAGTGTGCAGTCATGTCACTTCTCATATCATTTCAGTTGTTTTAGACCGAAACTCTTGCTCTCTGTCTCTGTGGGCTTACCTATACTAGATATGCCATACATAGTACTACGTTGTGTGTCTGTATCTTTTTCTTAGCATGTTGTTTTCAAGATTCATCCATCTTGTAGCATGTATCATTTTTGGTACCTGAATAATATTCCATTTGTGTAAAAAAGCCATTGCCTTATTGAATCTGTAGATTGTTCTGTGGAGTATTGCCATCTCTATATTAGCTTTTCCTGTCAACGTAGCATGTGTATCTTTAAATTTATTTATATTTATTCCAAGGTACTGACAGTTCCCAATTTGACATGGCTCAACATATGATATTTTACCTGTTTTTTTGTTACAACAGTAAAATACATTTAGTGGAAATTATACTTTGAATTTCAATCTTTTTCTAGACCAATAATATATGTGATATGGTACTGTCTCATGATTTTGAGCAGCAGCAATGACGAACAGCTCCCACTTAGCCATAAGATTGTGAGGTACACAACTAGTGCTGTACAATGTATTGTGCTGCTAAACTGTGGTGGCTTTCCATTCCTGTGGCAAAAAGCCAGATATAAATCACCTTATAGGGAAAAAAGATTATTCTGGTTCATCGTTTCAAAGGTGTCAGTCCATGTTGCTTGGCCCTGTTGCTTTTGCCCTGTGGGAAGGCAGAGAATGTCATGGTGCAGCATGTAGGACAAAGCTGGCAGCCAGGAAGCAAATGAGCAAGAAGCCAGCATCCCAATATCCCCTTCAAGAAAGTGTTTCCCATGACTTAACTTCCTTCCCGTGGGTCCTCCCTCCTGAAGGTTCCACACCATCCAGTAGTCCCACTAGCTAACAAACAGACCTTCGGTGGACATTTGAGATCCACATTGTAACAGTGGGTTGGTTATGTTGCATGCATCTTCACATTATAATATTTTCCATTTGTGGTAGATTTATTAAGAAATAACTTCAGTCATAAGTTTAAGTGTGTCTGTATTTTTTATGCTGTTGTAAGTGAAATGGTTTTCTTGCTTTTTTATTCATTGGAAGTATATAAAAAATACAGTTAATTTTTGGTGTTGATCTTGTACCCTACAATTTGTTTGACTGTATCTACTAGCACTAATAGGTTTGTGTATGTGGGTGGATTCTTTTTGACTTCTACATAGAAGATCATATCTGAGAATAGAGACAATTTTAGTTCTTTCCTTTTTAGATGTCTTTTATTTCTTTTTCTTCCATAATTGTTCTGTGTACAGCTTCTAGTATCTTACAAAAAAGTAATAGTAATTTTTTGTTTCTTACAAGATGATCACATGGTTTTTTCACCTTCATTCTACTATTATTACATTGTTGTGTGTATATTGAACTATACGAGCATTCTTGAGATAAATTTCAATTGGTAATAGTATTTATCTTATTTTCTTTTTCTTTTTTTTTGGTACTGGGAATTGAACTCAGGACCTTGCACTTGCATGGCAGGCCCTTGTGCCACTGAGCTAGATCTCTGGCCCCAGTATTTATCCTTTTAATATGCTGCTGAATTTTCCTACAGTTTTGTTGAAGATTTTTCTGTGTATGTTCATATGGAATAATTGTACTGAGCTTCTGTTGTGATGTCCTTGGCTTTGTATTTGGGTAGTACTTTCCTCATAGAGTGAGTTAGGAGTGTTTCATGTTTTAGAAGAATTTAAGAAGGATGTAATTCTTTAAAGTTTGGTACAATTTACTAGGTAATCTGATGCTGAACTTTATTGGGAAGTTTTTAATTAGTGATTCAATATCTTATAGGCATATTCAGATTTTGTGCTTTTTCTTGAGTCAGTTTGGTAGTTTATATATTTTAGAGAATTTATTCTCTCAGTGATCCAATTTGTTGGCTTTTTATTGTTCACAATGTTTGCATGTAATTTTTATTTCTGAAAAGTCAGTAGCGTCATTTCCATTTATAATTTTAAATATTTGAGTTTTTGTTGGTCTAGATTTTTTTGCTGTTTTCAAGCTATCTTTTGGTTGCAATTTTTCTATTCTTTTTTTCTCTGCTCTTTATTATTTCCTCCGATCTATCTTTAAGGTCTGTTTTTTACTCTCAATTTTTTTAGTTTCTAGTAAAAGGTTGAATAGTTGATTTGCAGTCTTGCTGAGACAGGATATCAAAATGCAATTCAGGCTGGCCTTGAACTCACTTTGTAGCCCAGGCTGACCTTGAACTCATAGTGATGCTTCTGCCTCAGCCTCCCAAGTCCTGGCTTTACAGCCGTGTGCCACCACGCCCACTTTTTGCAATTATAAATTTCCTTTGGGGTATTGCTTTCATTGTAGCCCCTGCCTTCATTTCTTTGCCAAGCCCATTACAGCTGTGACTTAGCATTCACCTCTTGCTTGTGCTAAACCACAGGTGAAAGCCTACCTCTAACAGGAAAGTCTTACAGTCTACTCAGATTTTTTGTCTGAGTGTGCCCTCGGCCTGGGCACGTGTGTGGCTGTCTAGATGTCTGATATGTGGGAGACTTTTCACATCTTTTATTTCCAAAGCTACTCCTTAGCTTTACCACCCAAGCTTTCATCACCTCACTCATTTGTCATGCTCCCAGGGACTCACCTCCTCCAAGCAGCCCCCACTTCCTAACAACACATTCACAGGTGAACTCATCAGTGGACCACTGCATCCACGAGGCTAATGTTCCCACGATCTAATCACCTTCCCAAAGCCCCACCTCTGAACGCATGAGCTTTTTGGAGTTCATTTTTACCCAGACCATACACAAGGTAAAAATTCTTCTAGTTGCTATAAACTTTTGACTGTCTCAAGTTGTCAGTAATATTGATTGTGGTAGTGTTTGCAAGGGTTAGTATTTTGAGGGAGGGAAAGGCCCACTACAGTTCCCCTCTTCACCATTTTTGCTAATGTCACTCCAAAATAGGGTTTTTTTCCAGCTTAGGTTCTCTGTATTTCCAGCAGGTTTGTGGAGATCCTTAGAAGATTAGCAGACTCCTTAAATTGCATCATCCTTGCACAACAATCTCTGTGATCAGCCCACTTTTATTAGCAAGGAGCACAGAAGAAGGGGCCAGGTACTTTTTCTGGAATAGAGACCATAGTAGACAGGAAAGAATTAAATGGGAAACAGGTTCTTTCCTATACCCAGATGCCTGCATTTTTTATATTGTCCTTAGCAGATGTTATCTTGCTTAGGAGCACTGTGGTTTCTGGCTTTCTCTGCACAGCTGAGAAGCATGGCAGCCTTCCACATACTTCTCTGTTTCCCAAGGCAAGGTCACACAGGCCTCGAGACCGTGGGATCCCAGTCCCATAGTCTGGTGCCCAGCATAGTAAAATATTTCATATCCCCTGGTCCCCAACATCTGTGTGCTTTTTTCTTGAGGTGTAAGGACATTGGTGAGGTCTACCACTCTAAAAGTTTCAAAGACCACTCCTTTAGAGGATTGCCTACTTAAATATCAGTAACTAAAACAGTAAAACTGAACTGTTTTTTATGGAAACCTGTAAGTAGGTTAGATCTTAGGCTGAGAAGAAAACTTATTTGAGAAGCTGTTTCTTTACTTGAACATTGTAATCAAGCTGCAGTAGATTTGGAAAATCTGTAGGGCAGGACCAACTGTAAAGTTTCTTCTTTTTTATCTGTTGCCTTTGCCCTTCAAACTATAGATTTTTTTTAAGTGGAGATTTGTCCCTACTTAAAGATTGAGTAGAATTCTATTGTTTTTTAGTTTTTTTCCGGTACCGGGAATCAAACTCACGACCTTGCGCGTGCCAGGCAGGCACTGTGCTGCTGAGCTAAATCCCCAGCCCCTTGAGTAGAATTCTAGATATGGTCATTTGTGTCATAATTTTTTTTGTTTTGTTTTTTATTTTTTTCCTGCTCTGATTGTTTAGTTGTTGAATATATATATTTGGGACCATTAAAACATTTGTGGATGTAATACAAACTGATTTTGTGTTGGTACCTTGTTTTACCATGGATAATTTTTGTTCTATATCATAGTTCTTTATTTAGAGTTTTATTAAAGGTGGTGTAGTTTTTATTAATAAAAACAAAGTAATCTTACAACTCTGTGCATATAAAAGCAATACTATTGGATGACAACATTTTATATTAAAATTTATATTAACAACTGTATTGAGATTTCAGGGAGATAGAGTGGAATTTAAAACTTCAGCAGTTCTGTTAAGCCTAGAAACCTGAAACTAATATTCCGAAGAAAGTGAAATTTCAGACTTTGGGGAAATAATGATACATTAAATCAGAATTGAGTATGGGTGGTTTTAAAACATTTGACTTTTGAAAATAAAGAGAAAACTGTAAAAAAAAAGTACTTAAGTATACAATTTGTTAAAAACAAAACACACCCTGTAATCCTGCACTCAGGACGCTGAGGCATGAGGATCACTGAGAGTTCGAGGCCAGCCTGGGCTACATAGCAAGACCCTGTCTCAAAAAAAAAAAAAGAAAAAAATATCAAAAATAAAAACAGAACTTCCTGTATCAGTGATCTTCATTAAATTTGACCCTAGATCCCATACTTCTTGATTTTATATGGTATACTTTTGTGATTAAAACAAAAGTAATGTAATATTCTTTAAAGTACTTTGCATGAAAAATGAAAACTTCTCATGACACCCATTATTTTTAGTGTTCTGTGATTTAAGAATCTGTTCAGATACTAGGTTTTAAAAAAAAACTGTAATATGTTTATTTTTAGATCTGAAAAATAGCATTATTTTGTTTGTTTTTGATTTTTTAGGCAGGGCCTTACAATGTCATCAGGTTTTCCTTGCACTAGCTGTGTAGCCCAACCTGGCCTCAAACATGTGACTCTCCTACCTTAGGCCTCTGAGTGCTAGGCTTCAGGCATGTGTCACCACAGCTAGCAAGAGCATAAATTTTTAAAGATTCCTTTTTCCTATTTTACTAGTTTGACTATTGTGTGTTATGATAGAAAGTAGCTGAATAGGAAAAATGAATGTAAAATGACAATTCCGTTTTTCTTTTTCTTGTTTCTTGACAGATTATTAACAAATTCAAACAGACTTACAACAACCAGAAATGCTGTATGGGCCCTTTCAAATTTATGTAGAGGCAAAAACCCTCCTCCAAACTTTAGTAAGGTATGAGTAAAGTACACAAATTAAGAAATCTGTATCCATGAACTTTTAAGTTTATGATAGTTTTTTTCTAAGTTGAGGGAATTATTTTTTGATAGTAATTGTTTTCTTAATAGACTACATAGTATTTGCACATTCACAAAATTTAAAAACTTTACAATAAAAGTGCAATTTTGCTTCTCTTGCTTGAATTCCTCTGCCCAGAGGCAGCCACTATAACCAGATGTTTTGTATCTGGGAGTTGAAATTAGAAATCTTCTAAACTAATTTTTGTCATTTATAGGATATTAAAGTCCCTTTCCCTCAAAAGATTAAGAGTACAATGTTGATTGTAAAATGGAGAATGTGAAATTGCACAGATACTCTAAATTTAACATTCCTACCACCTGGAACTTACCAAGTGATATAAAATGTGTATTTGTAAAGAGACCTCTGTGTAAGTATTTGTGGCCGCTTTATTCATAATCACCAAAACTGGGAACAGTACAAAAGTAACTGGTTGGAGTGTGTATGCGTGACTTGAAATGCACTGATGTGGTGGGATACAAGCCACTGATAAGTGGGAGCAAACTCTGGTCACTTTCAAAAGCATTCATGTAAATGAAGGGAGCCAAGCAGAAATACTTCATCTTGTATAATTTTTGGAAAAGACAAAACTCTGAAAATAAAAATCAGATTGCTGGTTGCCTGAGAGAGGAAATTGACTACAGAGGAGCAGAAAAGAAACTTTGGCAATGATAGAAATATTCTGCATTTTTGTTGCATATTAGTTATGCAACTGTATTCATTTGTTAGTATAAATTGATGTAAGTAAAAAGAAAAACATTGAATTAGGCACCTAAAGAGAGTTCAGTTTTACTGTATGTAACTACTTCAGTAAACCTGATTTATTTTTTAAAAGTCACCTTTCAAAGAGAGAAAAATGAGATGCTTAATCTTTAGATCATGGATCAAAGTAAATTTTTAGTGTAAAAACATTGAGTGTGATTTATACCTTCCATAATATCAGTGTTAAATTTCTTGTCTGTAATGTTTATGTTGGGAAAGAAAAATATGACTGTGTTGATGTATGTGAAGAGAGTGCACATTTCCCAAAATGTTAACAATGGGATCTAGGTGAGTAACATGGGTGTTGATTGTACTTTTTTTGCAAATTTTTTTGTAGATTTGAACTTTTTCAACTGGGGAAGGAAATGTATCACTTCCTTTGATATCATCTTTTCTACGCTGCTGTTTGCCAACTTGTTTATTGCAGTAATCTAAAAATCTTGCTTCCTCTTTGTTGCAACATAGTTTCTATTCCCAAAAAGCAGTCCGAATGGTTATTACAGTATCATTTCTACCACAACCCTGCAGTGATTCCTTAATGTTTTAATCAAAGAAAAGTTTTTAAATGTCCTACAAGAATTTCATCATCTGGCCTTCTGTTACCTTTTTTAAAAATTCAGTTTATTGGTGCATTTTAGGTATATATATTGATCACATTCATTATAGGGAATTTGTACCTGTACATAATAGAGCTTGATTCTTTATTTTCCCTATCCACCCTTCAACCCCTCTTCTCCTTAGTTACAAAAGCTTTGTTTCCATTTTTTCCTTCTTTTCTCATTTTTATCTTTCTTCCTTTCCCCCTCCCCCTCCCTAGTTCCACTTCCCATTTGAACATTTTATTCCTATTTCACAATATCTATTACACATTTTGGTCCTTGTTTACAGTTTTGGTTTCTCGCACCAGAGAAATGATGCGGTATGTATACATATGTCTGATTATTTCACTGAAGCGTATGACCTCAAAGTGTATCCATTTAGCTAGAAATGCCTCAGGCTTATCCTTTAAGGTGTAGTGGTACTCCACTGTATAAAAAAATATATATATATCATCTTTATCTATCCATTCATGAGTTGATGGGCATTTGGGCTGTTTCCAAGATGTAGCTATTACAGTCTGTGCCACTGTAAACCTTTGTGTGTATATATTGCTGTGGTATGATGCTTTTAATTCTTTCGGGAAGACACAAAGAAGAGGAATAGCTGGGTTGAATGGAACCTCTAGTCCTAGTTTTTTGAGAAGTCTCCACACTGATTTTCACAGGGGTTGCACTAGTCTACACTCCTACCAGTAGTGGAGAAGGATCCCTTTTCCCGCCACAACCCTGCCAATATTTGCTACTGATGTTTTCTTGATGACAGCCATTTGTTCTGGGGTAGGATGGAATCTCACCATTGTTTTAATTTGCATTTCTCAAATAACCAATGATGTTGAACTTTTTTAATGTATTTATGTCACGTTTCTACTTCATCTGAGAAGAGTCTGTTCATTTCAGATGCCCATTTTTGGATTAGGTCTTTAAAACTTTTGGGGGTCTGTTTTTTTTGAGTTCTTTATATATTGTAGATAGTAGTCCTTTGTCTGAGGAACAGCTGGCAAAAATTTTTCCCCACACTGGGTTCAATCTGTTGGGAGTGTGGCGGGGGAAAGGAAGAAAAGGAAAAGAAAAAAAATGAGAAAAGAAGGAAAAAATGGAAACAAAGCTTTTGTAACTAAGGAGAAGAGGGGTTGAAGGGTGGATAGGGGAATGGAAAATAATCAAGATTCAAAAAGAATCATATACAGGTACAAATTCCCTATAATGAATGTGATCATTATGTATACCTAAAATGTACCAATAAACTTAATTTAAAAACTTAATTAAAAAAAGAATTAAAAGCATCTGTTATTTTTCTGATTCATCTTTTTCTGTTTTCCATTTCACTCAACTCTGGTCCTACTGGCCTGCTTGCTATTTCTCAGACTTGTAAAGCATGCACTTAACTTTGCTCTAGCTCTTCCCTCTACCTGGAGCAATGAGTAGCTCTTAAAATATCTGGTCTTAGAACCTCTTTCTACTTTTAGAACTTACGAGGATTCAAACCCTTTGTTTATGTGATTAGTATCTAATGATACTAGATTTAAAAGAAAACTTGAAATATTTATTGATTTAAAATAACAAATTTAGTACATGTTCCTTACCTTTAAAAAAAAACTATTCAATATATGTTTTATTATCTTGTATAGAAAATTCTGTCCAGTAAATTTTCCATGTTTCAAGTAAATTTTACTATGTTCTAGGTATTTCTCTAAGTTACTGCATCTAAAAAATATTTGCATAAATTGTAATAGGTGGATATGTCAAAATTCACTTAGCCATTCTATTTTTCAGTTCATAAGTTGTTTCCCCCTTTTCTGCCAATGTATATGTTATGAAGAACACATTGGTGCATAAGATTTTCTCCATAGATAGAATTATTTCCTTACGACAGATTTCTTTTCTGTTCCTTTTTTTTTTTTTCCCTTTTGAAACAGAGTCTCACTATGCAGTTCAGGCTGTCCTTGAACTCACTTTGTAGACCAGGCTGGCCTCAAACTTGCAACGATCCTCCTGCCTCAGCCTTCTGAGTGCTGAGATTACAGGTGTGCACCACCACGCCCGGCTCCTTAATGACAGATTTCTAAAATTGAAACCAGACCAAATTTTGAATGTGAACATTGAAGATCTTAAATATGCAATTGACAAATTATGCCTCAAAATGCTGTGCCAATTGATACTATTAACACCAATGTGTAAGAGCACCAGTTTTGCCAGGCATGGTGGAACATACCCATAATTGCAGCACTCAGGAGACTGAGACAGGAGGATCACTGAGTTTGAGGCCAGCCTGAACTACATAGTGAGACCCTGTCTCAAAAAGAGTGCCAACTAGGCATGGTGGCACATGCCTGTAATCCCAGCACTCAGGAGGCTGAGGCAGGAGGATCGTTGCGAGTTCGAGACCAGCCTGGGCTACAAAGTGAGCTCACGGCCGGCCTGAACTGCACAGCGAGACCCTGTCTCAAAAACACCAAAAAAAAAAAAAAAAAAAAAAAAAAAGTGCCAGTTTCAACCATGGATGTGAACATATTTAAAAGCTATTCTTATTTCCTCTTCTTACCCTGAGTTATTTCATCCACATGTGAACTAGTGACAGAATCTTTACCCCCCAAATCAGAGCTGCACTCAGATCTCAGGTCTTTAGTATTGGGAATATCCCAGAGGTCACACCTATGCCTGACACAACACTGAGGCCTGGTGTGCTGGGGCAGGAACTGACATTCATACCATTGTGTGTGCTGCCAGTCCAGGACAGCTGTCCAGCTCTTGCAGAAGTGCAAGGTCCTGAGTTCTATTCCCAGTACCCCCCCAAAAAAAAAATTGGCAAAAAGTACTATCAGTCATTTTCCTTGAAATGACAATTTTTATTTTTAAATGTCTTTCAAAAACCTAAGACTGAATAAAAAGTGTGTCATGGGGAAAATTGGCTAATTTAATTTTCAGCTCGTTCATTAAGTGTGCTTTTGTAGAAGACCACCTCGTACTGTACAGTGTGTACAGATGCGTTTTATGTATATTTCCTATCTCATTTCATAAAATACTTAAATGACGTGAATTCTAGAATTGAGCTTTAATGAAATCAGTAATTCTTACTGCTTATTTGAGGTAATTCTAAAGTAAAACCAGCTGCGTCTCTTCTCCCTGCACCCTGACCCTTTTTTTTGAGGTGAAGAATACAAAAGTCATTTTGGTACTACTGCCTTAAATTGTGCCAAGGTGCTAACAGTGTCACTCACCTTTTCTTTGTACTTTTAGTATAAATGTCAACAAAGTAAAATGACTCCTGAGCTCTTGGACCAGGCTTTAGGTCACGATTCCCTCACTTGTAATTGTTTGTAAAGATTTGTTTTCTGTGAGCTATGTCCTAACTGGCTGTGAGTTTTCCTGACATCATCATTTTACTGTAATTTTTCCAGATCACTTTTTAACATGATATTTATTTTTCTTACAATTATGTATATTAATTTAAAATAAAGATTCCACTAAAATGTAAACTTCTTACAGAAATCGATGTCTGTTTACTTATATATTCCAAACTTATGGGATAATTACATTATAGAAATTAAAGCTTGTTTGATGAATTTTCTATGACTTCATATGAGTTTTCAATTATCTTTTTTTTGTTTTGTTTTGTTTTTCTTTTTTTGGTACTGGGAATTGAACTCTGAACCTTACACTTGCCAGGCAGGCACTGTGCTGCTGAGCTACATCCCTGGCCCTATTTACCTTTTTTAAAGGAATTTTTTTCTACAGTGACGTATTTTCAAGAATTATTTCTTTTGTTTTCTGTTTGCCTGTACATATACAATTCTCTCTTACCTGGTAAGTTGTCTTACCGGAGAATTTGTAGATTTCTTTTTTAATCTTTTTGAAATAGGGTCTTACTCTGTAGCCCAGGCTGCCATTGAACTCACTTTGTAGCCCAGGCAGGCCTTGAACTCTCAGCAGTTCTCCTACCTCAGCACCCCCAGTGCTAGGATTACAGGTGTGTACCACAACATCCAGCTCTACAGGGTCTGTAAAAAAAATTTTTTTTTCCTTTTTTATTGCGTCTGTTGTTTCATTGATGAACCCTGGCTCTTTGGGCAGACTTAGGAAGGAGGCACTAAGAAGCTGATTGGATATATTGGTAGGGCTTGTCAGCTCTGGGCTTCATTGTAGGGTGATTGGGCAGTGTTTTAGTCATCATTGAGACATAATACTTGACACCCACAACTCAAGGAAGAGAGGCTTAATTCGGCTCATGGTTTTAAGCGGCACTCAGTCCACTGTAGGCTGGCTCCAGGGCAGGAGCATCACGGTGGAAGGATATCGTAGAGGAAAGCAGATCACGCCATGGCACCTTGGAAGCAGAGAGATAAGTGAGAAGCTGAGGAGGGAGATGCACCTTCCACAGACACACCCCTATGGACACATCTCTTCCAACCAACAGCACATTAACTGTGAAATCGTTAGTAGATCAGTATATTGCTGTGATCCAGTCACCTTCCAATAACTCCTCTATATAAGACTTTGGGGGACATTTTAGCTCTCAACCATACATAACAAGCAGCAATATCCTCCCCCCGCCCGCCCCGGTGGAACTCCCAAGTTTCAGTCTCTTGTTCCACTGTATTTTTCCAGAGACAGATCTTCCATTCTTTTGCTCCTAGAAGGTGGGTATATTGGAGTAAGGTGTGCAGTAGGTAATGCACTTGGTTTCTGGAGATCTGGGAACTGATGGTGGTGATATGTTTCACCAATCAGTATGTAGACCTTTACTTCCATCCTCATTTCCAGTCTGGCTCCATTTCAACCTCTGCCTAATATGTCATTCATTTTCTGTGATTCATGTAGGTTTTGTGTTTCAGTTTCTTCTTAAACCTTCAGTCTTTGGTAGCACTGAGAATGCTTGCCCACTGTAATGTGTAGTGGGTACCCAGAGTCTAACCTTACTCAGATTTATAATTTTCAGGTCTGTTTTAACATTATCTCCCCTGCATTTTGTGATACCCAGAGCTCTGATTTCTAAGGCATATTGGGGTGGTGGACGTAGAATAAATAGTGTCCTTCTTCTTGGTAGCTCTGTCTTCAAGCATTTGGGACTTTGCTTTCCCTGAATTTCTATCTAAATTAGTTAACTGTTTCTTTAGTTATTTTCATACTCATATATTTTGAGCAGGATTACAAATACCTGCTAATCTCCTCAAAGATGGAATTTGCATTTGTTTCTTTTTGTTAGTTTTACAAAGCTAGAAATGTAGGACTTTTTCCTAAAAATCTAGTACTTTGTTTTTTAACTTGGTAAAAAGTTATTTATGAACTATAGTGATTTTTTTTTAAACTTAGGATTACTTTTGTTTTAAAAAATGGATTCACACATTTCTCTGTTTAAGGGAGAGGTTATGGAAGCACAACTTTTTGGGAAGGGTCCATTTGTGACACATACAACATTTAACTTACATAGATAGATAGATTAACTGTGGTTTTGCTTTCTGAGATTTCAGTTATCCATGATTCAAAAATATGAAATGGAAAATTCCAGAAATAATTTGTGAATTTTAAATTGTATGTCTAAGCAGCGTGATGAAATCTTACGTTATCCTGCCCAGGTTTTAAATCATTTACTTGTGTAGCATATCTATGTTGTATTCACTACCTATCTCATGGTTAGTAGAGTCACTTGGTACCTTTCTCGGTTATCAGATGGATTGTTGAGATATGCAGTGCTTTGTTCAAGGACATTACTTTACTTAATGATGATGTCAAAGCAGTTTGAGTGTTGGCAGTTCAGATGTAATAAATAGAGGCTATCAAGTGCTGCTTTTAAGTGAAAGATGTTTTTGGCTTAGTAAGGAAAACTGTGTTGAGGTTGCTAAGATGTACATCAAGAGCAAATCTATCGGAAAAATGTGAAGAAAACTGAACCTCATGCTAGGTTTTCTTTTGCATACCATGCTCCAAAAGATACAGGCACAGTGCAGGACAAGTCCTTAGTAAATGTGGAAAAGATATTAAATTGTGTCTGTGCTTATAAGGAAACCTGTATATGATTTTATAAGATGCATGATTTTAGGCATGCCCTGGAGGTCTTGGTGTGGATCTCCCGTGGATAAGGGAAGGATTATTGTAACTCTTCTGTGAGGAGAGAGACTGAGAGACAGGCTAGGAGACTGATTTTAGAAAAATGTAGCGCTTATAAAATAAGTACAAGTCATAGGTGTAAGCCTCAAGAGGTTACTGGATGGCTGTTCTTAGATGCACTCTTGCAAACTTAATGGTACCATATCTTTAAAATGAAGAACTTTGGGTTCAGAAGCATTTGATAATTTTCGCGTGGTCATACAGCTAATGGGAAGTGCTTGAGCGTAGATTTTTCCAACAGGAAAAAGGATACATCATAGAATTTATGTAACTTGGCCTCTCTTTTTTTCAAATTTGAAAACCTGAGTCTCAGATAAAGCGGTTTACTCACCTCCACAACTAATGAGTTGTAGTGTTTGTTCATACTAGTAGGATTAAAAATCACTGTTGGTAGTGTTTAGTTTTGTTTTTTAATTGAAAATTCAGGGTTTCATTACATTAAGAAGAAATATACCTTATTTGTAAATTTTATTTTATTTTTAATATACCTTGCTAGTGACTTCTATTTGAATACCTAACAGAAATACATTTATTTTAATATTTCTATACCTTTATTCTCCAAATGACTGTAGCAGTTATTTCCAGTAAAATATATGTAATGAACAAAGTGAGGCTATTTAGGTTATCTCATATTACACGTTCATTATAGTAAACACTTAACTGAAGCATTTAAATTTCTCTCAGTTTTAGTGTACAGTTGAGGGCCCAGGGAATATGTTTTAAACAGGAGACCTAAATACATATTTTATTATTTTTAAAAAACTTACCACATATCTTATTCAGTATATGTTCAATACAGTAATCACCATCAGTTTCAAGTTCATAATCTGAACATAATTTTAAAACAATACCATATTTTAACCTCTGGTTTTATATAGGATTAAAATTCACTTTTTTTTTTTTTGGTGCTGGAAATTGAACTTACGATCTTGTGCTTTCCAGGCAGGTGCTGTGCAACTGAGCTATGTCCCCAGCCCTCAAATTCACTTTTAAAATGAATTTCTGTATCTTCCTAAGGAAACTTGTTTTTAAAGAAAAAATGTTGACTCCTTCTCTTCTAGGTTTCACCTTGCTTAACTGTCCTGTCACGATTGTTGTTTAGCAGTGACTCAGATGTGTTAGCAGATGTGTGCTGGGCCCTTTCTTACCTCTCTGATGGACCCAATGATAAAATCCAAGCTGTCATTGATTCTGGAGTCTGTCGAAGATTGGTGGAACTATTGATGTAACTATAATTTATGTTTCATAATTGTATGGTTGTGTATTAAGGTTAGCAGTTAAAATACTGGTCTTGCAAACATTTCTGAGTCATTTCTTTAGAAAGAGTTAAAAAGCTACCAATCCCACATTTTACAGAGGGGCTATAATCCTAAAAAATTTACCTTTAACAATTTGTGTAAATTCAAGGCCAGCCTGAACTGCATGGTGAAACCTGGTCTGTAAAAGCAAAAAACCAGCCAGCCAACCAACCAGCCAACCAGCCAAATAAACCAAAAAACACTATTAGGTTGGTCCAGAAGAGGTAGGTAGTTTACAGAAGAGAGGTCAATGCCTGCATGAGAACAGTGTCATGGGCATTGTGTTGCAGACAGGTGGATTCAATGCAGAGGTCTCAGCCCAGCCTTGAGAGTGGCTAGGAACAGTGACACACTCTAGAATAAGCCAAATATAGTGAAGGGCCGAGCCTTGAATTCAAAGGGAATACCACTCTCCATTCAAAGGGACCAGGGATCTTAGAGAAACAACTAGTTCCAGGGCGAGGAATGAGAAAAAAAATAAGACGAACGTCAAACTAATGAGTGCTTGAAGAATGGAGGCATGTTAGAAGGACACAAAAGCCCATTTGAAAGGGTGCCTTCTGTCCAAAACTGGTATAGTTTGAGCTTTGGAATAAGTTACAGTTATGTATTATAACTCTGCAAAAAAAATAGAAAACCCCCGAATCCACACTTAAGTAAATCAGTAGTTAGGTAAATAAGGCATATAGTTGAAATGACAGTGTTAGAAATCATCAGATACAATAATAATTATTTCAGAGGGCATCAAAGATAGTAGTAAAAGTACGTTAAGGAATGGGAGTTTTACATAATCTCAGAATACTTCCTCACTAAAAACTGCTTCTAAAGGGGAAATCAGTAGCGGTAAAGCAGAAAAATGTGGCAGGCTCCATCATAACTAGTAACAGAGCTCAACACAAGCATCATGGACAGAGGAGACCCCAGGCACCACCCAGTAGGGTGGCAATAGCATTTGTAATATGCTAACCAAATGTATATAAATTGGGTTTTAATCTTGAGAAAACATTGGCTAAACTCACCTGATTCAGGGTCTTCAAAAATATCAGTATCCAGACTGAGGAACTGTTCTAGACTGAAAGAGCCTGGAGAGTCATGGCAAGTGAGTTAACATGGGACCTTGGAATAGATCCTTTGTTATAAAGTAGTAGAGAATTACTGAGACTTAAATGGATTCTCTGGGTGAAGTTTCTACTTTTGCAACTTTCTGTAAATTTTACATTTTTAGTAAATTTATTTTTTTTTTTAATGTTCAGGTACAATGATTATAAAGTTGTATCACCTGCATTAAGAGCAGTTGGTAACATTGTCACTGGTGATGATATTCAAACACAGGTGAGTCCAGACTTTCATATGACCAATTGTTAATGTGATGGGCTTTACATGATAAACTGTATACCATGTAAACATATTCATGATAACTTACAGGCAGCCTCAGGTATCTGTAAGAGAAAGTGCTATCCTACGCCTGAATTAGTACAAAGAACTACAACATACAGGTTCTGTTCTTGAGAGATTTCTAGTCTTTTAGGGAGAAAATATATATTAGGACAAAGTGAATTATGCAAGATAGTATATGTGTGCTATGAACTAACCAGTCAGTAAATGCTATAAAAGTTGTAAAAACTATCAGTAGATTAAGAAATTTGTGTAGTCTTAAAGGAGTGGAACTAAATCTAGATCCTAAAAGTGCAGTGGACTGAAAGAGACATGTGGTCATAGGTACAGAGGTATGTGTGAGCTGTTTTTTTTTTTAGGAGCATTAAACTTAGGTAGAATAGAAACTGTTAGTGAGAAGATGTTTGATTATGAATAAGTTAGAAGTAGAGTTGATGGTAAGGCCTTTTGTATTGAAGGCCCAAATGGAAAGATGGCAAGGAAGTTCATCTAGGACTGGTAACTGACGATGTGTTAGGTGTATCTGTCCTATGGAGAGAGGTCAGATTAGGAGTGATATTAAGATAGACTGCAGACTTGGGCCACAGTCTTTCTTGAAGACAAAACCTTAAACTCTGTAACACATTAAATTTTTGCTTATTTACAATTTTTAAATTTTTTTGTTCTTACCCTTTTTTAGCTTTATTTTTCAAGTCTTGTTTTGATACTCAACAAGGTTATTAGTAGTTGATCTGTAGTAATGGATGGTTGTTTGTTTAAGATAGTCTTTTAATTGAAAATGCTGTCTTAAACATACACTGTACTTTTTAGTATACTGCTCCACACAATTAATGTCAATCATTGCAAAGTATTTTGAATATAATTAGTCAGCAGAATCTGTTTTTTTTACAATAGAAAAGTGGAACAGTGAAAATTTTAATGAAACAGACATCCTACACATTATGGATTTTTAGTTACAGATTTTTACTAATTCATTTTGAAAACTAGAGGTTGGGTCCTAACCTCAGTCACTAAATCTTTCTTCAAATAATTATGTCATTTCAACTCTGAAAATATTTTCAAAGTTATTTCCAAAATTCCTGACTTTTTAAAAAAGCTATTGAGTTTCAAAATACCTCCACTTGGTATCATTTTAAAATAATATTTACACAGGTGATGCTAAATGTTAAATTTGCTTTAACTTGTAAACTTGAAGGATGAAGCTTTGGCATTTTAGTGGACTGAGAACAGGGTACCTCACTACTCTGGCACTAGACAAACTTTGGCAACAGCAGAAAGGAAAAGATAGCAAGTTCCTAATTTTCTCTTCAAAAATTTTTCTCTTTTCTATTCATTTTTCAGAATGATTATTTTTTACTTCTGAATAACCTAGTAGTAAGTATTTATGTAGATGGTTTACTATAAAACTTCTTGTTTCCATTTCTTTAGGTGATTCTGAATTGTTCTGCATTACCCTGTCTCCTGCACTTGTTGAGTAGCCCAAAGGAGTCAATTAGAAAAGAAGCCTGCTGGACTATTTCTAATATAACTGCTGGAAACAGAGCTCAGATCCAGGTAACGAAAGGCCTCTCCCGTCTGAGACTAGAACAAGAAGGTCTTAAGGTGCCAGTATATCGTAAGTCAGCATTTCATCAGTGATGTATTTCAGTAAGTATTTTTAAAAAATAGATTCCTAAAAAGTATTTTAAAGAATGTGGCCTTTCTCTAAAATAGTAACATTTATTTTTAGTATTCTAGTGGGGAATGTGTGTGTATGTGTATGTATATTTTTTTTCCTACCACACACACGGTCCAGCACACAGTGGTTAATCTTTAGAAGGCATTGTTCTTCATTAGTTTTAAGTTAGGCAGTAATCTTCTGCTTAGAGCTTTCATTGATTTATGAGGGTTTTATCAGGCTCATTAATTTCTCATCCATTTTGATCAGTCATATTCCTGTGCATTATCATCTTAAAAATTATAGCCTGTTAATATCATCACTATTATTTAAAAAGCTAATTTTCCATCAAAAAAAGAAGTACATGAAGGTTTAGACATACAGTGTTTCCAAAGATAATTCCAGAGCCTTACTGTTGTGAAGTTACTCAGTTTCAGTGCTCTTCTACATGGTAATATTTTTAAAACTGTTTACACTGGTTATGCTCCATCAGTTTTCCTATTCTCAGGCTATTATAGATGCAAGTATTTTTCCTGTTTTGATTGAGATTCTTCAAAAAGCAGAGTTTCGCACCAGAAAGGAAGCAGCTTGGGCTATAACTAACGCAACCTCAGGAGGGACTCCAGATCAAATGAGGTATGAAGCAAATAATGTCTTTATTTTATTTTTAATTTTTATTAGTGTGGTATATATTTGCCATACAGAATGATCATATTCATTATAGGGAATTTGTACCTGAACATAGTATGTCTGAATTCTTTTTTTCCTTTTCCCCTTTCCTCCCTTCAATCCTTCTTCCCCTCCCCATTTACAAAAAGTTTGTTTCCATTTCTTCTTCTATTCTTTTTTTCTTTTCCCTTCCTTCCCTTTCTTCTCCCTCCTTTCTTGCTCTCCTGCCCATTTGAACATCTTTTCTACTTTCCAATATCTATCCTCTGTTTTGCTCCTTATTTACCCCTTGAATTTCTCACCTAAGAGAACCAATGCAATATTTAAGTTTATGTGTCTGAATTGTTGCACTTAACATTAAGGATAATCTTGAAGTGCATCCATTTGCCAAAAATGTCATAAGTTTATCCTCCTTTCTGGCAGAGTAGTACTCCATTGAATATAAATACCACTGGGCTGGGGATTTAGCTCAGCGGCACAGTGCCTGCCTGGCAAGTGCAAGGTCGTGAGTTCGATTCCCGGAACTGGGGGGAAGAAAATAAATAAATAAATACCACATTTTCTTAAGGGGTGATACAGTTTTTAAAATTGTTTTTTAGTGTAAATTAAAAATAATTTGAAATAAAACATAGTTTTTTATTGATGAAGTATCATTTCTACATCAGTTTGATAAGCATTTTTAATCTTAAATGACAGCTTTTGTTATATCATTCATTCACAGTGGGTTTTTTTTTTTTTTTTTTTTTTTTTTTGGTACCTGGAACGGAACTCACGACCTTGCGCTTGCCAGGCAGGCACTTTGCTGCTGAGCTAAATCCCCAGCCCCCACAGTGGTTTTTAAAAAATTAAATTCTAGCTAATATTCTCCATGGCAGGCTAGAGATAAAAAATCTGAAGAGGGAACAGTCTGTGCTAATTTGCACAATATTGTCCTGGTTATTAAATATTTTTTAAATACTAAAATCAGAAAAAAAATTTTAAGTTGAATATATAGAAATGATGTTTTAATATTATCTTATTTAAAATAAATTGAGCCATGCGTGGTGGCACATGCCTGTAATCCCAGCAATCAGGAGGCTGAAGCAGGAGAATCACCATGAGTTCAAGGTCAACCTGGGCTACAAACGGAGTTTAAAGCCAGCCTGGACTATATAGTGAGACTGTGTCTCAAAAAAAAAAAAAAAATACAATTGAAATAGACATTTATTTAGTTCTTTAATTTGAGACAGTGTCACTAAATTGCCCCGGTGGGAGTTGAACTTGTGATTCTCCTGCCTCACCTTCCTCAGTACTGGGATTAAATATATGCCACTGGGCCCCACTGTCTGCTTTTTATTTTCTATTCTGCCTCATTGCTTTAATCAACCTTTCTACTTCATTTATGTCATGAATACAAGTAGTAATGAAACAAAATCCTTGTTCTCTTGTATATTTTTTAATGCTAATATTATTATTATCTGCTTTTGGCTCAAAGTTTGTCCATGTGAAAAGTTGTATTTTTTCAGTTTATTTCCTAGTACCACAAAAAAATAATAGCCACGATTATATCTATTCCACAGAGTATTCCTTAAATTTGTGCATCAATTGTCCAAATGAAGCTAATTATTTTCCTAGCCACTCAGCCTGTGTGTATGGGAAGAGACTCTCTTGGTCTCAGGTAGCTTCAGTATGCACACTGCTGATGCTTGCCTAGTGCCCTAGCCAGTCATTTCAGCTGTGGAACACCAGCAGGGTATCTGGTGCTTTTATGGGTTCAGTTTCCTTTACCCTCATAACTGTGAGAGAAGTTTTTATTTCCCATTCTTTTTGTTTTTGTTTTTTTCTGGTACCGGGAACCGAACTCACGACCTTGCGCTTGCTGCTGTGCTGCTCTACTAAATCCCCAGCCCTGAGATAAGTTTTTAATCTTTGTGCTTAACGTGAACTTACAGAAAATGTGAAAGCAGTCTACGGCCATACCACCCTGAACGTACCCTATCTCGTGTGATCTTGGAAGCTAAGCAGGGTCGGGCCTGGTTAGTACTTGGATGGTAGAAAATGTGAAAACAACTAATAACAGAAGAGGAAGGGCATTAGAAAATGAATGGAGTATTTTTTTGAACATTATTTATAAACTTTACAACATGGCCTGTTTTGTTCTTAAAGGTCTTATGTACTTAAGAAACACAGTATATGTTTAAAACATTAACTATGGTTTTTTTTTTGAGAAATTTCCTGAATTTAATTCAGATGTCCTTTTCCCTTTCCGTTTCTTCAGCCTCTAAATGTGCACTCTTTGTGTACAGAGCCCTTTAAAAAAGCGCACACGCGCGTGCACACACACACAGAACCCACTGTCTAGAGCATGTACACCGTGCACACACAGATTGAAGTACCGTTGTGCCCGTGTTTATATTTCGTTTTGTTCACAATACCATTTATTGCTCATTATTTTAAGTTAGAGAACAAGAGAATACAGGCTTTTAAAGTCATGTTTTTCTTCTCTTTTTAATTGATACGTGTTTGTGGTACATAATAAGTGCGTTTATTGTGGGGATTTGGTATGTATATGTGACACATTTTAATTTTTTATAACCCCTTTCCCTGACTCCTCCCTCCCTCCGTCTCTTGGAGGTGTGTATATATTTGGGGGGTACATGTTTGTAGTATGTAATGATTATGTTCCATATAAGAACTTGGCACAGGGGGCTGGGGATTTAGCTCAGCGGCAAAAGCGCCTGCCTGGCAAGCGCAAGGTCGTGAGTTCGGTTCCCGGTCCCGGAGAAAAACCAAAAACCAAAAAAACCAAAAAAAAAAAAAAAAAAAAAAGAACTTGGCACATATATACAGCACAACCCCCCATCTCATTTCCTTCCCTTCCTTCATCTTTTTTTTTTTTTTTTTTTGTTTTTCTTTGGTACCGGGAACCGAACTCATGACCTTGCGCTTGCCAGGCAGGTGCTTTTGCCGCTGAGCTAAATCCCCAGCCCCCCTTCCTTCATCTTTTGATTCCCTTCTTATATGCTGAAGATTTATCTCACTCTTTCCTGTTCTCTTTTATTTTGCACTTAAATAAAAATTTAAATGTTCGCAATGGTTAAGTTTTTATACTATTGCTTTTCTCAGTTGTTTATATAAACACTTCTGCTGAGACCAATGCAGCCTCTGGAGTCCTGAGAGAGGGTGATGGGAGATTAAGAAAAAAACAGACACATACTAAAAGGAAAGCTGGGACCAGGTGGGACCTGACCTCTCTGATGGAGAGGCAGAGACAACTTAGCACAGTCTGCGTCTTTATTTATACACAGGAAAAAGGTTGCGGGGGAGCACAGGACAGGGCCAAAAGTGCAAGGTCTCAGTGTTTTGCTGAGAACATGGAGAGCAGAACATTCTCAGAGCTCTCTGTGCTGTAGTTAACAGGGAGGAACACCAAGGCCGGACACGTGCTGGACTGGCTTTGCTCTACTCTCAACAGCTTGTTCACATGGCTCGCCTCTGGTGCTCTGTGTTCCTTTGGGGCTCGGCTTGCTCTATCCGTGAATGTGTGGTGATCTCCAGCTTAGCCACTCCCCCACACATTTCATGATGAAGAACATTTTTATGTCATTGTTACAGTGCTTGAAGTCATTTTAAATCTTTTTTTTTTTCCTCCCTTCTCTCTCTTTTTAAAAATTATTTGAAGGTATTTGGTAGCCCTAGGCTGCATTAAACCACTTTGTGACCTTTTGACTGTTATGGACTCCAAAATAGTCCAGGTGGCTTTAAATGGACTTGAAAATATTTTACGTCTTGGAGAACAAGAATCTAAGCAGAATGGAGTTGGCATCAATCCATACTGTGCTCTCATTGAAGAAGCATATGGTAAGTAGTCAGTTAAGAATTTGTAAGTAGTCAGTTCTTAATGATCTGCCCTAGCTGGTTTTCCCCCAGGTTCCATAAAAATTATTATAAAAGCACTGTGTTTTAAAAAGTTTCCTATTACCTTAACAGCATATTTTCATCATTTACCATTCTTTTTACATTACCCATATGTACAAATACTTTATATTGGTTTAATAATAGTGTATGGCTAGTTTTGTTTCACACTTTCAACGTTTTGTAGAAATTTTACATTTGTCCATAGTGTTTACAGTTTTAGTAGCTATGTAGTGGTATCTTGCGTGAACACTTGAGTGTGCTTTCAGCCATACCACATACAGTTTTACCATACACTTGTCGTTGGCCATTAGTTTGTTTCCAGTTATTTACTGCTTTTTTTATGCCAAAGTAAGCATCTTTCAGCATATAAATTTACTTCTTCTGTTGAACTAGTATCTTGGGATGCGCTTCGAGGGGTGTAGTTTATGAGTCCTGTAGTTTATGTGCAGACTTTGTTTTTTGCTACATCTCCTTTTGTTTTCTGAAACCTGTTACTGACAGGTCACCCCCTTGCCTTGTGCAGATGTGCTACACAGCCTTATGCTTGTTTGGTTGATGGCTAATTTAGCAGACATGAGCTAGTATCACCATTTTGTGTATTTCTTGGCTTGTTTCATATAGTATGGTATAGATTTTCCATCCACTAGTGTATATCATACTTTATACAGTTACCTGTTTGAAGTTTTTACTTTATTTTGATATAGCCTTTCTCCCAGTCTTTTTACTTTAATAAAATAAGCTATGTTCATTTATATTTAATAAATGATTCAGTTTAATTTCTTATTTCTTCACTTTATAAAGTCTTTGTCCCTGTGGAGATTGAGTGAAAAAAATTTTTTATTAGCCATATTTTTGTGATTGGGTCCTTAAAATATTTAAATTAACTCATAATGAATTATTTTTGGATGGGTATGAATCTAAATTGATTTTTTCTACTTTATTTTTATTAATACTTTTCTGTGTTGTCTTCTTACTGTATGCTGATTCTCTCTTTTAGTCACCATCCTTCGGTGAATTGTAGGCTATCACATTGCCCTCCTTTCTGATTATATAGTGTCACTGGTTAAACCGTTGCATAAACACAACATATTAATCATTGGTTTTAAGAATATTTCTTTAGTACAGTCATTATTTTGACCCCAAGTTACACTAGTGTTTGTGCTATTCTTGCTTATTCATTCTTATTTCATATTAGTGTTCATGAAGTGATTCTGTAATTGAATGAGTAATACTTCAACATTGCATACCTAGACCAGTGGTGGCAAACCTATGACACGGGTTACTGTGTTTTTAAGACAAAAGATGTTAATATATGAGTTTTTTCTAAACTAAAACCTCAATATTCAGGTTTAAGTGCAGTGTTGGCAGTTAGCACTTTGCAATAGACAAGTGGGTTTTGGGTTGCAGTTTGGCACTTGGACCCTAAAATGTTGGCCATCACTGACCTAGACTTAGGTATAGAATGTTTTCTCCTAAGCCATAAAATACAATGTTATAGATCCTCATTTTTTCAGGATGTAGTTTTTCAGTTTTACTTACAGACTATACTTTTAAGCAAATAGAAGCCATATATGGTATTTTGCTGTGAAAATATGTCATGAATTTACAGATAATTTACATTTGTTCCATACTAACATTCTCTGGCTCACTTTTTGTGCTTTGTTGTTTAGCATAAATACTCTGGAATGGATTTTTGAAATTCCTTATTCTGAAACCCACTTTATAACTGAGAAACTCTGTGCTCACTTTGGCAGCACATACACAACTGAGAAACTCATGAATTGAACAAACTTGGTCAGGATCACACAGCTAACAGGGTGGTTGGGTCTGTGAACTCTTACTACCAGGCCTGTGGTCATTTTTGAAGAAAAAGACCTTAGTCTTAGCTTTCATGTGTGCAAAAGTTAATTTGCAGTCCATTGCTAGTGGAGTAGTGGATGCTAATAATATAATATTATATAATATAATAATTTGTCCTTATATATGTGCATTCTTTAATAGGTCTGGATAAAATTGAGTTTCTACAAAGCCATGAAAATCAGGAAATTTACCAAAAGGCTTTTGATCTGATTGAACACTATTTTGGTGTAGAAGAAGATGATCCCAGCATTGTACCTCAGGTGGATGAAAGCCAACAACAATTTGTATTTCAGCAGCGGGAAGGACCAATGGAAGGCTTTCAGCTTTAATGTGGTGGGGAACAAATTAATGGCTAAAAGTGTTTTTCAGATTATCTCCTCTTTGTTGCCAGTGACAGTTGGAATGTTTGACTTCTTTTAGCATAGGACAGAAAAGAAAAATTGGATGCACTTTTTAGAAGCAAAATGAAGCAAAAGTTTCCGTTCAGATGCAACATTTTGTTTAGGGTTTTTTTTGTTGTTGTTTTGGTACGATTGTATCTATGTCTTTTTGTTGTGGTTATCTGTTTGTGAATAAATAGATTATGCAGTTATTTAACTGAAGCTTGCAAAGGAGAATGGATGAAGTGTTACATAATGGTTCTGAAATCTTTTTCATGTATTTTTGGAGAGTGCACAATAGCAGTATAGCTATTGATAATGACGTTTTGACCGTATGTCTGACATCCATTCTTTACTGAATCTACCTCTATTTTGAAGCAAAAAAAAAAAAGCTTCAGAAGCATGAAATCATGTAAAAGCTAAATTAAAATGTGAAAATATTTATTACCGTACATTATAAATCACTGTGCTGTTATACTTTGTAAAAAAAATCGCAACAGGAAACATGTGAAATTTATTTATAAAACCTAGAAGAATCATTGTCTTGATAATCAGTTAAAATGTGGCAATTGAAGAGAGAAGTTGTTCATGTTGGACACATTAAAATGATTAAAAAATACATATTTGTGTTTTAAAGTATAAATGCTATTATACTACTATATTTTGTATTTCAACCAAATATACCATTTTTGAAATAGTTTTATTATTTTTTCACTCTTCATTTTAAAGAGCATTGTGGCAGAGATGCCATCATGAATCTACAGTTATGCTGCATATGTAAAATAATACTGTAGGGTTTTCTTAAGAGCAGTAATTAAAATTTTATTCTCTGTATTAATGATTTTAAGTAGTTGAGTGACAAAAGCATTCTGAAGAAATCACTTTGTTATGTATTAAACTTTACTGAATGCATTTAAGGTTTGGACAGCAAGTGATTATATTAGTGAAAACCATTAAGAGTTCTTTAATATGGTTGAAGTCTTTATTAGGAATTTCTTAAATTTGGTAATAGTCACAGGATCATACTGCTGCTTATTGTGTATTAGATTACATTTTTTATCAGCTTGGTCAGTATAATGTGTGTGTTTTATGAATTGACAAAAATCTTTTCAGACTGAGAGTTCAAAAGAAAGGTTTCAGTAGAAAAATTATATTTATTTACACATATGTGTTTATCTATGCTTCTCACACAGTACTATGCTTGATAGAATTTTCTCAGCATATGTGGTACTGTTGAGCTCAAATATTTTAACTTATATGCAGGCTATTTACATTTCCAATTAAATATCTAGAATATTTATTGTACTTTCAACTTGAAACTCTGTTAAAATGGGAGCTAGAGCAGTTTTGATATTATTCATAGCATAGTCTTTTGTGTAAAGAAAGATTTCATTTATGATAGCATTTGTAATGTTTCTGCTGGAAATCAGAGGCATGTTACAAGAGAAAAGATGTCTTAGGATACTTTAAATAGTGTGACACTTTGTAAATGATATATCATGAAACTAAGCTTTTGGCAAGACACTTAAAACTGACAGCGATACAACCCGGGTTTACGTGGTGTATGTCATGCTGACTGCAGCTGCCAATTCTGCGTTACACTGTTGTTTAAAGGGTTGTATGTTGTTTTAAGGGTTGTATGTTGTTTAAAGGGTTGTATGTTATTTTAAGGGTTGTATGTTGTTTAAAGGGTTGTA